CTGAGCATTTGGCATGTTTGGTGGGGAGCTTTGCCAATTCTGTGCAGACGCGCCACTAGTTGGGGGCATTTGATTGCCATTCCCCTTGTTGCTATTCACTGCAAGAAGGAATCAGAACCATAAGCACCTAAATAACACATCCGTAATGTTAAATGTAATTAATTTCTAATCACAGTAACTGTAGTTTGCCAACAATAGAAGCAAATTTTATTTTGATGACTTCATCATTTAGTGACGATATTAAAACAACTTACTGTCTGCTTGAGAAGTGGGCGGGCGCTGAGCCGTGTTATTCCATTGTTGAGTATTGTTTGTTCCATTATTTGTTTGGCCACTGGAATTACCGCCCCAATTCCCAGCTGGCAAAGAAAAAAGATCTATTTATAATCTCTTATCACCGACGACGGTTAAAATATAGTTCTTATGTCGGCCACGGGCAGTACTGCCAAATATTTGAGTGCCGATCAACCTACTGTATAATATCTGAATCGGGCGTCAGCGAGATGACAAAAACAGGCGTACTCACCGTTGTTAGAGGAAGGCGGGCTGCCCCAGCCAGTAGCGGTGTTGAGCGAACTTTCGCCCCCTCCGCAAAGTCGAAGGCGTCGGGGAACGCCCCAACTGTCCACATCTTGAGTTTTCATTTCCTTGATAATTCGATCCTCGTTTTTCGTGAGTTCCAACATAGCGTCGAAGGTGAGATCACCGTTCGCGAACATTCGCAAAGCCGTTTTATTGGCGGGTTTGTCGTAACCAACTTCCAATTCATTATTGTCATGGTATGTCTTCACAGACTTGTCTTCATTAGTAATGATTCGAGTTTTCGTTTTGGATATCATATTATGAGCAGACTTGTCGTTTAGTAGTTGCGTATCGCAAGGCTCATCTCGTATAATACAAACTGAGGATTTAAAAGCGTAATCAGACTTGTTCATATGCTCCGGCGCTCCGAACGCCATCTTATAGTTTAAGTTAAAGCTACTGAAATATGGGTCACTGTATGAGATACCCTGGACTGTTATGGCGTTAATCGTTAAAGGAATGCAGTAGTTAGGCGTTTCGCCAATCATTTGGTTTTGTTGGACACTAACAACAAATTCTACATTATAAATATTTAAATCTACCATTTTTACACTAGCTTCATGACTTTCATTCTTCTCAACTTGAAAAGCACCAAAATTATTTGTGTTCACCACCAACATCAAGGTGGAGTAATTACATTGCATTGGTTCGGTAACAGTATTAATATTGGAGTAACAATTATCCTTAATTAGATGTCGAACACATAATATTACAGAAACATTAGACATCAGACAATTATTATAAATAGAATAATTTTCTACAGTTTTGACCTAACATTATACTTATGTTCACAGATAGCATATTGTTTCAATTATAAACTAAGTAACAATGGTTCGTAGTGATGCAGTCAATAAAGCAGGTAGCAGTGTTTAGTGCCTCTATGGTAGAGGACAAGGTGAGATCACCACTGGAAGCTGCTGCGGACTCGCCTCCTAGCCCCGATTGGCCCAGCCCTATAAAGTACACAACATTGGATCAGCAAACAGCTTGTGTCTCACGTTAATGCGTCCTAAGTGTTTTAAAATCTTTGTCTAAACTTTAAAATTGTATTTAGGTAATATGGATCATAATATGATTGCTAATTCCTAGGACTTCATTTTGAATTAAAACAAAGACTACGGAACATTTTGATATTGTTGATGAACATTTCAAGTTGTTTATTGATTCCCACTTTGTACCCTCTACAATACTTGCAGTAATATTATGTTTCATTTTTTGCAATGGCATCTCGCAATAAGACCAATAAAGGAGTATGCTGTCGACTAGACTAGACTAGCTCAAACATTATAAGTTTTTACAATTACTGAACCATTTGAAGGTATGTTTGACATCTTTAATGAATCTCAAATTGAAGCAGATTCCTAAAATGTAATATATGCAGGGGATACTAAAGGTAGTTTACAATGAAGAATTTTAATAAATCCAGTGCCCTTTCAATGCCAAATAATTTGAATATAGTACAGCTACAAAGAATTGTGTGGGGGTACTTGACTCAATCCTTAAATACAAATAAGAATGAAGACAGTTACACTTGAAATTAATTCCAATCTCTAATCTCGAGGCACACAAGGGTAATATTAAATAGAGCTTACCTTATAGGACGGACGAGAGGCTGAGCTGTATATCACAGATAATGCGGGCTCGGCAGATCCTTAGAGCAGCTTTACAGTCAGCTCGTAACGTTTCAGATTATCTGTGAGACAAAGAGTTCACAATTTACTTGTACTATTGGCACTTAGCATAAACAATTAATAAAAATCAATACGCAGGTCTCAACAATAACTAAGTACATGATCATTTTGAGGTTATCTGGATCAAAAAAAAAGGTCACTTGGATCAGTGCTTTGTACTCGCACAGCATAGATAGGTACATCAAAGTGAATAACATCAAAAATTATATTTTTTAGATTTACGTCGCAATGATACGATAAAGCAATCTTCAAATCAAAAATCATAATGGTGTTTCACAATACGCCATTCCAAAACGTATACGAGCTATGTAATACGACGCAAGTACTTATGGTCACACCGAAATTATCAAGAATAAAATGTTATAGAATCACAATTTCTCATTTCAGTTTTCACATTCCTCTAAAAACCAATATTCTTTTCTTACATTATATACCTATATATTTGTGTATTTCGGCCTTGAGACTCGACGACTCGATGTTGAATATCTACAGTCGTATACATGTATCTATCTATGCTATATCATCCACGGTACCTATCTATATCTAGAGTGAAAGTTAGCACGACCCATATCATTCGAATAAAGCAAATATTTTTGAAACAAATTAGTTCCCCACATACACAAACACTTAATTGACAAGAATATTACAAAACTTCCTCAAAAATCACACTCTAATCAGGCAAAAATACAAAAAATCTTACGTGACACGACCGAGCACAACGGTGTTATATTACTAGAAGGAATGAGACAGAGAATTAAACATGTCGCTGACATCCCGTTTGTTGGAGGGAGAACAAACATACGCCTGAGAAAGCGATGCCATAAATGCTCAGAGCCATCAACGACGACATAAAGAACTTCTTCGAAAATCTAGCTTTATTTAGGACTTACCTCTGTTTTATAATGTTGTTGGCACATAACTTATGGATTTATACAAAATCACAATCCCAAACCCCCGAGAACACGGCTTCGACGGCTGGATGGAATGATTTCGTCGTCGGGGTTCGCACGAGAGCTATGAAATGCTACCAATTTATGACGAACTGAAGCGCTTCAGACTACGTACAGAGTTACCGTATTTTAGTCGTGGTCGGGTTATAGCAATTTACTATACCTACCTATAACTTTCAATATGCAGAGGTATTATCTATAGTATCTATCTATAAATATGTACCTATAATAATACCGTACGAATACATACCTATTTTTATACTGTTGTGTATTTCTATATCTATAGACAGCCATTCGATTGAATATGGGTGCCTTGTAGCTAACTGGGGTACCTACTAAAAACTTGCTAAATAACCATAGATAAAATCGATATCTAAGGGAACTTGAAAGCCTCGGTTTCTTAAATTTGTCCGTCAAAGTCTAACATGGGGATATGTGATTGATAGAAGTAACCAATTAATTTGCTATGTACATCACCCTATTCATATACCTGCTTACTTAGCTAAACTTTGCGCATATTCTGTTACAGAGGAGGTACTTACCTACTACGTAGGTACATAAGAAAAGGTTATAGACAGGATTGATTAGGTAAACTCATGGTAAACATAATGACATATTCTGTCATTTTATTTTAGTTAAAATGTGGTGTATTCTCTGCGTAGATATTTATTAATTAATTACGCATTTGTAACAAAAAAATATGTAAATGTAATGTAATTATAAGACCTATTTTTATTACTTAATTCATGATAAGATTGCTTTCCATTTTGTCTTTTTCTTTCTGAGTTACCAAAATATGTAATAATACCTACGTAGGTATAATACTTAGGGAACTTATATAACAAACCCAAAAATTTGTCAAAAATTGTTTTTACGTAGTAAACTAACTATATTCTAAGTACTTACAAATTATTTTGGTTTGTTTTTCTAATATTATATGTACTTACAATTAATACCTACGTAACGTTAAATCTCATTTTTATTTAATACTCATTAAATGGCTACTCGTTACTTTATTAATTTATCTAACCAATATCGTACCTATGTATTACTAAATAAATCAAGTTTATAACTTCAGCTGCTGCAATAGTAAACCACAAGGTTTGCTATTTTTAGACAAAATACTCCCTTAGCCATATAATTACGGATAGTATAACGCTAAAGTAAATAAAAGTCTAATAAAAATAATGCGCTTTTAATGTTACAGCTACTACAATGTCCCATTTTCTAATAATACCTTTATTTTTACAAAGGTTTAACTTATCAATTATCATACAGAGTTAATTAAATGCACAAAAAAAGAAAAATGGACACATCTAAGTAGGTCTAGATAGCTATAAATTGTCCAGATAAATTATCGATTTGTATTAGAAATATTTCAATGAACAGGACATAAATCAATAAACAAAGTGAGCGTGGTATAAATGTAAGATTTTTATGTATCATTTCCTACAAAATTACCAACGCCATGTATCCATTTTTTGTTTTCTTCTTTGTGATCGGCCAATCAAAATAATCTAATGCTAGTGGTGTAAGCTTACATTTTGGAAACATACCGTAGCATAGATTTGTAAACGTCAAAAGATATGTCAACTGTCACATTGTCACTGTCAATTTGATTAGATGGTTTTAGCTGTTATTTGCGAAATCTATTGTGTTCATTCGTTATCACTAATTTTCCTTATTTATCGATACACACATTTTGCGTCAATTGATGAAAATTCGTTCATTGCTGTGTCAGATATCCGGCAGCAATGTTGTGTGAAAACAGAGAATTATGCCTCGTCGTTTTTGGGGTCTAAGGAGGCTGTTAAGAATGCCTATAACAGAGACTGGGGACCAATATTCAATATGGGTATGTATTTTTATAGTTATGTTTATATATTAAACGATAAATTAATGTAATTTATTTAACATATGTTACGATGTGCGATATTTAATTTTTTAATAATAATAAGCGGATTGCCACATAGTCGACGGTAGATTATCTTTTGTTGTTTTATGGTCCATGTAAACTGTTGTTTCTCCCTCCACCGTAAGCGGAACCGTTAAATACTGTCCCTCACCTACTTTCAGTGCTTGCTTGCTCACTACATATTGTTACACATTAAAACTTGTAATGTAAACAAAACATTGCCTGATTAAAATATAAAGCAGCAATTAATTATGTACTTGACAAATATAAAATGAAATATTGCAATAAATAAGTATTTTGTAATAAAATGTGTTTATGCTTACATCCTTTATTCTTATAGGTGGGCTTAATTTATGTCTTCAACTTAATTGTTGGCACTGGAGCCTTAACCCTTCCGGCAGCCTTTGCTCGAGCCGGATGGGCTCTCAGCACAATATCCTTGATGTTCCTTGCATTCATGAGTTTCTTGAATGCTACTTATGTGATAGAAACTATGGCTTGTGCTAACGCTGTGTTTAAATGGAAAAGGTTGCAGACTATCAAGAGGGAGAGTGTAAGTATTAGTTTTATAAGATCTTCTGAACATCAACAACTTCTTTGGTACTCCAAATTTGTGGCTAACTAACTTATAGTCTTTGTTTTGCCCACATGAGGGTCCCTATGTCTTTCTCCGTACTCTCAGCTATACACATGAAATTTTTGAAGTAGGTATAGCATAGACAAACTTACTTTTGCATTTCATAATATTAGTTGAGATCTTAGTATCTGGTTAGTGCACTGTTTGAAATTGGCACAGCATTAATTGTCATAGTATGATAGGTAAGCTCAAATTATTAGAATTATAAAAGTTGTGTGGTCACAATATATTTCTTGTAAGACCAGTCTTATAAGAAATATACATATTTATCTATCTTGACACAGAAACATATAAATAATATATGCTGTCCAAATAGTTTTGTTCATAAAATATATAATACTTTTTATTGTGAGTCCATATATTGTATACTTTTTATTATCAGCACCAATAACAATGCAAATACATGGCATGGCTAGTACCTTTTGAAAGCATATCCAGTATTTATAATGTTAACTTGTATCTTACAGCAGTTATTTGATTGATTCTTGCATATGAGTTTGTTTATGTGAGTGACTCTGTGGCACCCCCTTATCGTCCAATTTCTATAACCTATCTATCTGTAGATTTGCTTACTAGAGATAGAATTTTGACATGAGCTCAATACAAAATGTGTCAAAAATCTATCTCTAGTAAGCAAATCTACAGATAGATAGGTTATAGAAACTGGACGTATATCTGGTGCCCGTGCCCACTAATGCCTGGTGTTAGTGACCTGTCATATCTGGCGCCTGTACTACCTAATACCGGGTGCTAGTGCACCCTAAATACCTGGCACCCTAGTGCATCACATCCCCTTCAATATAAGTTAAAACGCTTCATACAAGATTCACAATAGAGGTTGAATCTACAATTATTTCAGAAAAGTAATAAAATCAGTTCCAATATTGAAATAGTAAAAATGTTCATTTTAAATTTTGAATAATGGATTTTTTATCTTAATGTGTGTGTATGTGTGAAGCTATGGCAAATTATGTTGGCATAAACTAACCGTGTATAACTATAAATATCTAACGGGGAGCAATTTGTTCCTCTGATTATTGGTTAATGAACAGAATTGAATAACAATATAATACTAGTAGAATATGCGCATGGAATACATTATACTGTGTTTATCAGAGCCTATGACACAGGTCTATAAATAGAATTGTGTTATAACTATTCTGCCTTTAATTAAATGTGTGGAATGTCTAGTTAAGTTGAAAACATTATTCTGGAATAGTAAGCTAAATTATACAGTTGCAAGTACCAGTAGAAGCACTGACTTTGCATATAAATGTTTCCTAAATCCATAAATATATTTTTATTTATTTAGCCAATTCTAAGCTGTCGTTGCACTTTTTATCGACTTCTGCGTGTCCGTTTGCCAGGTGGTAAGGCCAGAGGTTACCAGAGGGCAAATTACCCCCTCCCCAATCTCCCCAATCTCTGAATCCTCAAATTCCTAATCCCCAAAAGGCCGGCAACACACTTGTAACGCCTCTGGTGGTCCAGGCGTCATGGGCGATGACGATTGCTTACCATTAGGTGATCCGTCAGCTAGGCTTATCCCATAAAAACCGTTATGAAACATAACATAACGTTTTTTTATCCCCGAAGGGGTAGGCAGAGGTGCATATTATGGCACTTAATGCCACTGTACCATGTAACACCCAATTTTCACTATTTTATGCGTGCCCCACCCGGGAATCGAACCCGAGACCCCTTGCTTTGAGGAAAGTTATAAAACTATCTAAGTATGTAGGTCCTACAACTATATACCTAGCTATGCATACATAGATAGGTAAATAAATATATAAAGTGGCCCGATACCTTACAAAATGCCCCTTCAGTAGTAATAGATTAGTCGTATCGTGAAATTCTAATTAGTATTCTTTATTGGTTTAAAATGTTTAAATACTTTTAATTTCCTTTCTACATGCCTCCTAACTCCTTACTAGCGATATAAATATACTCGTTACTTACAAAACATGGATTAAATACAATTTACATCAGTTCCAACTAAATTGAGAATCTCCTCAACTTTCTCCACTGTCTTTTTTTTTTACCCGACTGCCAAAGAAGGAGGGTAATGTTTTTCGAGTGTATGTAAGTATGTATGTATGTCTTTTCCTTTGTGACCACCTGTAGCCTAAACGGCTTGATGGATTTTGATGTATGAGGTATCGTTAGATTTGTCTTGATTACGGGAGTGTCATAGGATACATTTTATCCTATGACATCCACCTTGACCGCCACCAACGAAAATTCTGCTAAATGGTGCACAACCGAAATGACTATAAATAAGCCTCTGTTGGTCCCCGCCTGCGATGCTTTCCATCAACATTTATAAATTATATTCAGTAAATTTGTATTCAAAATAAGTTTCTGTTTATTTAACTATCGATTACGAACCCATATTGTAGTGTATTTTAATATAGGTATTGTTTAAACGGTATTACATAATTAGTTTTTAGCATTTGATTGATCAATATTATTGTGGGGCTTGTTTTACTCTTTTTTTAGTGTGCAGTCGGGTATTTTGTTTTTTTAATAATAATTTTTTTATTAACGTATTTATTCACAAAAATTATACATAAATTTACTTATACATCAAAAATCGCCAAACTGTATAACAGTTTGTTGGCGATAGTGGCGCTCATATATTATACAATAAAGTTGCTTATAACTACTATTAATCTATCTATATAAATACTATACTATTAATTGATACATATTGACATATTATCTTTAGTTCTTTTTTATGTCTAGAACAATTAACTTTAATCTGTTTTAATACTTATGTATCTATCATATTCAAAAATTCCTTCTTTAGTCTTTTTTTTAAAGATAATGTACTTAGGTTACCACTATTATTTCTTATGAAAGATACTTTATTATAAATTAAGTTTAAACTTGCTTTTGACATTACAGATCCAAGACCATGAATCAGATGACGACCCATCTACGTCACAGAACAACCACGGTGACCTTGAAGAGCCCCTGGTCTGTGGTGATACCATCCCCTCTCGATACTACAGCCTCGACCGGCGTGTGGAGCTGGGAGAGATGGCCAACCTATTCTTTAACAAACTCGGCAGGACCACTTTCTATTGCACTCTGTGTATATACCTCTATGGAGACCTGTCTATATATTCGGCAGCTGTTGCGAAGTCTGTTATGGATGTAGTGTGGTGAGTGGTCTATTTCTTTATGTAATTTAGTCTAACTTAATTAATCGAGTATTCGATATCGACAGAGTTAATATTCTAAGGTTCGATAATCGAGTATTCGAAATCGATATGGATTCGGATTATTTCCCTTAGGACCCAATAGGTTAATTCACACATGCACATTACATATACATACATACACGGTGTACATTATGCCACTGTACAATGTAACATCCACTTTTCACTATTTATGTTATGAGTCCCATGTAATAGGGGGTGAACCTATTGCCATATACCGGGCACAATTCCGGACTCCGTGCTACTATTGTGAATTTTTTTGAAAAACCCAGTAATACTTTGCTCGACCCAGGAATCGAACCCGAGACCCCTTGCCCTGCAATCGCACTTGTGACCACTCGGCCAATGAGGCAGTCATTTGATTAATTCACATCCTACCTATTACTTAAGTAAATATTATAACAAAAAAATAAAAATCTTAAATAAATACAACAAGATACCTAAAGACTTAAAAAAGCCTTCAAATCGTTCTAACTAGTCATCATGCTTTAAGTACCTATTACCTTGACCAATATGATCATTTTAAACATGCACAGACTATCCAAGGATAAGTGACCCCACACGATTAATGAACCGTGTCTTAATCGATTGTATAAGTACTATTCACATCGTTCATCAATCATAAATACTTTTACGTTTACTAACTATTGAGAGTACTTATATTCTCAATAATTTAATATGAATATCATTTGGTAATACGGTAGATGCCTAATTTTTATCTTAATGTCCGTCTGGTAGATAATTATAAATCATTAGACACGTATTTTTTATTTTCTTACAGAACCTAATACTTTCAACGATATATTGATTTGAAATGTCGCGTGACGTCACTTCTATGTACATTTTATACGTAAAAATGACGTTTTAGCTCCCACTCTTAAACTTTGATTCGTTTTATCTAAATATTGTTTTATTATACGAGAAAATAAAAAATACGTGTCTAATATTTTTTCATTACTTAATTTAAGGACTAATCCCAATTTAAGTATATATTATTACATTATCGAAACGGTTCGCTTTTTTTCTCCTATTAAACATATTTCTTTTACTTTCATTTTATTTAATAGTTTAGTTGTAGTTAATTTTAAGTTGTAAATATTTATGTAGTTATAAACAATGTAATATATTAAACATAGCCTATGTTAATCAGGTATAATGTAGAATTCCAACAGTAAAGGAATTTTTCAATTAGGTCCAGAAGATTCAGAACCTATTCAATTCAAACAAAAAATCCAATCTTTTCTCTTTATAATATTATTGTACCTCTAGATAATGGTATCAACAATCAGGTGTAAGGAGGTGAGAACTAATTTTAATGTGATCATAATGTTAATTGCTTCAAGTTACGGCCACGTCATAAAGCAATCAATTCGTCCTAAAGATAAAGTTAATTAACGAGGAATAACTGTTTCTTCAGTTACAGTTAGTTGGTCTATTAATTAGGTAATAAAAACGTATTATAACAGGTATTCATATTCATTATCATCATCATCATCATCATCATCATCATCATCAACAGCCTGAAGACGTCCATTACTGGACAAAAGCCTCCGACTTAGTCCTTCACGTCCCTCGATAACTCGCCACCTGCATTATTTTATTATTATTATACCGTACAGAGAACGTTCTCAAATGAAACTACATGTAAAGTAGTAATAAACTATAAGGTATTATTTTACCCGATATTTATATGAATTTGGGTTTTTTAAAAAATCTCAGTAGTAGCACGGAGTCTGGAATTGTGTAAATGTGGAATTGTGCGTAAATCAATTACGTATAATATATGTCAACGTGAAATTAATGACCGTCTCGTTGGTCTCGGGTTCGATTCCCGTGTCGGGCAAAGTATTACTGGATTTTATAAAAATTCTCAGTAGTAGCATGGAGTCTGGAAATGTGCCCGGTATATGGTAATAGGCTCACCCCCTATTACATGGGACTCATAACATAAATGATGAAAAGTGACAGTGGCATTAAGTGTTGTAATGTGCACCTCTGCCTACTCCTTCGGGGATGAAAGGCGTGATGTCATGTTATAATATTTTCTAAGAAAAAGCGGGAATCATAAGTTTAAGTAGTAAGCTCGTTTAATTTTACTCGTACTTGTATATTAGGTACTTCTACGGAATAAAAAATTATTATTAAAAAAACAAAATACCCGACTGCACACTAAAAAAAGAGTAAAACAAGCCCCACAATAATATTGATCAATCAAATGCTAAAAACTAATTATGTAATACCGTTTAAACAATACCTATATTAAAATACACTACAATATGTGTTCGTAATCGATAGTTAAATAAACAGAAACTTATTTTGAATACAAATTTACTGAATATAATTTATAAATGTTGATGGAATGCATCGCAGGCGGGGACCAACAGAGGCTTATTTATAGTCATTTCGGTTGTGCACCATTTAGCAGAATTTTCGTTGGTGGCGGTCAAGGTGGTCCCCGCCTGCGATGCTTTCCATCAACATTTATAAATTATATTCAGTAAATTTGTATTCAAAATAAGTTTCTGTTTATTTAACTATCGATTACGAACACATATTGTAGTGTATTTTAATATAGGTATTGTTTAAACGGTATTACATAATTAGTTTTTAGCATTTGATTGATCAATATTATTGTGGGGCTTGTTACTCTTTTTTTAGTGTGCAGTCGGGTATTTTGTTTTTTTTAATAATAATTTTTTTATTTATAACTTTTTAGCTGTTTTTATTTAACGAAAATGTTGTAGATGTAGAAAACTATGTATATGTAAGTACCATTTTAAATTATTTCGACGACATTTGGCTTTAGATTACGAGTGATGTTACTCCGCAACATAAATTTACCGCCAATCTGGGCTGTTGGTAGTGAAGAAGAAAAAGAATTAGGTGAGTCATTACTGCTGAAGATCCCGCAAACGTTTAAGTTCAGTTAAAGAACATTCGTCGTGGGGCCGATCCCCCTCCGCACCGCGCCGCGCGCCGCATGCCAGGCCACGCCCTATCTTTTTGCTTGCTAACGCAGAGTTGCTTTGCGTTGACGCAGAATTAACATGTTCCCGTGGGAATTTTGAGAAAAAACGTATCCTATATTAATTACTCCCGTGATTGAAATGAATCTAATGATACCGCATACATATTTTTTTAAAGGGAAATTTAGAAAAAATATTATTATGTCTTTATCCCGTGGGACTTTTAGGATAAAATGTATCCTATGACACTCCCGTAATCAAGACAAATCTAACGATACCTCATACATCAAAATCCATCAAGCCGTTTAGGCTACAGGTGGTCACAAAGGAAAAGACATACATACATACTTACATACACTCGAAAAACATTACCCTCCTTCTTTGGCAGTCGGGTAAAAAATTATACAAATAAGGTTTAAATATGGGGTAATAATATAACCTTACTTTACGAGTCACGTAGTTTTCTTCTTTTCTGAAATATAGTTAGCCTATCTTATCTCTATCCGACATCGATCCGTGCGACTGTTACAGAGGTACCTACTATTGATAAAATATAGGTACTTACGCCTTTATGTCATTTACATATCAGTCAGTAGTCATACTTGTCGTATATTGCTTTTTAGGATAAAAGTCGTTGAGTCCATAGATTTTCAAACATAGGTTATTCGGCAAGATATGCTATAGTTTAATACTGGTAATATTATATACTTAAATTATAACTTGCACAGTTTTATTATACCTAGTTAGAGTACCTAGTTCCGTAATTAACGAATTCGATCGATTGATATTTTTTTTTATCTGCGTAACAAATGACTTGGGCCGACTGTACCTTACATGCCTGCAGTTTTACCTGTGTATTATCTTATATCTCTCTTATATTATTATATAAAGCGGAATCGCGCTAATCTCCGGAACTACAAGTCTGATTTGAATAATTCTTTTTGTGTTGGATAGCGCATTTATCGAGGAAGGCTATAGGCTATAAAAGCAGAGCGTGTGAAACCGCGCGGAAGTAGCTAGTCTACATATAGGTGCTTGTATATACAGAGCTATGTTACTTACAGGTAGTGTAAGCTTAATAATAATTAATATTATACGAATAATGTCAAGTATTTATTCAGGTGTAAAATTGATAGCTTGCTTGCATACCAACATAAAATTTCATAAAGTAATAATGTTCAAGTCTCAAATAACAAGATATCGTGATCGGGCAAATGTCTGTTATATTATACCGATAGTATGCGCGTGCGACGCGATCGCGTTTAATGTTTAAATGTCAGATTGATTTATTGATCTTACAAACAATAATAATAGAAAATGTTGCATTTTTCTGCTTTCAATAAAGTTAGAAGTTGTTTCTATTTCACTTGCTTTTGAAGGTCGTTTTGAGTCGTAAATGTCAGGCTACCGCGCGTTATAGTCAGCGGTTGCTTGTTGCTTGCTAACTTATACAAGCAGTTGCACTTAAGTTCCATGCATTATATTTTGGAAAATGTCCCAAGATGTGAGATGATTAACCAACCAAATGTCCGATACTATCTCAGACTTAGCTTTTTATCAATGAAGCGGTCCCAGACATATGGTACCCATTCTAGCTTTTTTTCTGGTGATAGGGGAAACCAAGTCGGTTAGCACTTGCGGAGAAAGACTAAAGCGTACGGGATTTTTATTTCACTATAACCACAACCACTCCGGTGGCCACCATCAGCTACTGTAAAGCCCTAGAGGAGGCTTGACTGTAGGTTCTTAACTTACGTGCTTAGGCAGGTTAGTTATACACAGTTATAAAAAAAAATCTTAAATATTAGTAATATATTAATTAAGTAATCTTGGCCGTGTGTATTTCTATAAAACCTCATTTCAGTAAAATCCTCATTCCAGCTCCCCGATTCCTCCGAACGTGACTGACTCGAAGGTGTGGGATGAGCTGCCGTGCTTCAACGCTTCTACCGCGGAGCACACCGGGTACACCCGGCTGGACACCTACAGGGTCGCTCTGCTCACATTCGTCGCAGCCATGGGTCCCTTTGTCTTTTTTAACGTTCAGAAGACCAAGTACCTGCAGCTGTTTACTTCGGGCATGCGGTGGTTGGGTGAGTCTCCTAGATCATTATAATAGTACTAGCTACTTCCGCGCGGTTTTACACGCTCTGCTCAGCTCCTATTGGTCGTACCGTGATGTTTTATAGCCTATAGCCATCTTTGATAAATGCGCTATCCAACACAAAAAGAATTATTCAAATCAGACTTGTAGTTACGGAGATTAGCGCGTTCAAACAAACAAACAAAAAAACAAACTTTTCCGCTTTATAAAATAGTATAAGATTATCAATGGAATGTTGCCAAAAGACCGCTGACAATGACTCAAAATTCGGTTAAGGCGATTTGCATTTGTGCATCACATCTGCTCAGTGATGCAAAATTCTATTAAAATTTTCAAAGGTTATCTGTTGGTATGCTGTGCATGGTTTCATTCAAATAAATGATCTCATTGTGACACTCTAGCAAAAGAAATTGTTCAACAATAGATAGAATAGAATTTGGGTAACTAAAGTGTTGAAAAAAAAAATTGTTACCTGCTTCAAAAGGTGCTTTGGTCCTTACTTTAAGTAAGGTACTTTATTTAGTCGCCAAATTTTATGTAAAACTCGAAGAATATGTTTTTTCCTTGTATAATTTAATTAACTGTATAGGCTATTTATGACATGTAATTATAATTGAACGATAAGCAACAAACAGGCCTATCGATCTACATTTTACCCTGCAACGAACGCTTTAACTAGTATAGGTAACAATATTATCGGTTTAATTATAAACAGTCATATAGTTAAACAGAATATGTATAATTTATGTAACGTTATCGAATATAATAATTTTGAAATTGATAAGTATCAGTAATCAATTCACAAGTGGAGTGTGGACCGTAATTATAGTTCACTTATTCTTATTGCCAATGATAAAATGTTGAATTGGAATATTTAGAAAACATTACATACACATAGGTACATACATACCTACATATTAGGAATGACGGGTACTAACTCTCAAGAGGCACCTAGCTTTTTAGAGAAAATGACTAGAGGGGAGGGCCTAGTAGTCACCATTACCACCTATATGAGAGCAATGGGTCCCTTATGTAAATCAGATAGCCTGAGAGCTCATAGGAGAATATATAGGTACCCAAGTTGGAAGCCAGGGACCTAACAGGCTCAATTAATAAATTGCATGTTCCTGATACATTGAATACGAGTGCAGTGATAGCCCACTTATTGCATTCGCGCCAATTGCCAATTGACAGAGAATTAAATATGGCGGATGACACAATAACGAGAGCAATCAGCACGTTTGTCGTTGTGTGATGTATGGCTGGGGCCTGGGAACATGCACATATTATACTGATTGTAATATCACAATGTATACTCATAGTACCTACATCTAGGGTTTACTTTGTCTGCCTTTGAAGTGGGCACTAAGTATGTTTGTACGCTAAGTATACCTACTTAGCGTACAAACATACTTAGTGCCCACTCAGAAATTACACTTAGTGCCCACTCAGAAATTACTAACAGCGGTAGCTGATTTCGTAGTAAATATTTATGTCTGTCTGATGATAGCAAATTAACCCTTATTTTACTGTACTCTGATCAATACAAAATTAATAATTATATATTTTTGCTTTGTTTTACAGCATTTACAATAATGATCTCAATGGCGATCCACCTGCTGGTGGGTCGCGGGCCGCAGGGCCACCCGCCTCCGTTCGACGTGACGGGCATGCCCACGCTGTTCGGCGCGTGCGTGTACTCGTTCATGTGCCACCACTCCCTGCCCGGCCTCATCGCACCCATCCGCGGCAAGACGAGGCTCGGCCTGCATCTGTTCTTCGACTACGCACTCATCGCCATCTTTTATCTGCTCCTCGCGTTCACTGGCGCCTTCGCCTTCGCACATCTAAACGACCTATACACCCTCAACTTCATACCAGCCGACAACGACAACATATTCCTAGAAATCATCGAATATTTCCTCGCACTGTTCCCAGTCTTCACTTTGTCCACCAGCTTCCCAATCATCGCTATAACTTTAAGAAATAATTTACAAAGTCTCTTCCTTGACACCTCAAGACTTGAATCTTACAATTTTATTTTGAGGAGAGTGATATTCCCCATAGTAACTGTGGTTCCTCCAGTATTGCTTACTTATTACTTGGAAGATATAAGTGTTCTGATCGAGTTTACGGGCTCGTACGCCGGGACGGGCATTCAGTACTTCATTCCTACGTTCTTAGTGGTGTCTGCGAGACGCCACTGCACTAACTTGTTAGGGTTAGGAGTAGTCAATAAGTATAAAAGTCCATTTTCCCACGTTGCGTGGGCGATCTTCGTCCTGTTGTGGTCGTTTGTGTGTATAATTCTAGTGTCAGTACACATATTCGAGAAGAACTCATGACATTAATTGTAATAAATTGCGTGAAGCAGATTTTGTTACGTAAAGTGAGAACTGTGGGAAGTATAAGGAGTGAGCATAAAGGCAGGTTAGTTTACATATAAACTGATTAGGATACGTTTTTTAATGTCTATTATTATTGTTATTTTACCCAAATCAAATAAATCGTTAACTCAATGTATGTAGGTATAAGAAGTCTGGTAAAACGACAATATATTCCTTATGTGTTCATATTTCTCCTTCGCTGTGCAGTCGACAGTATATCCTGTTTAATTATTATACCTATGTAATATATTGTCGATAGCACAGCCATTGTATTTTTGTATCAATGTTTGCCATAATTAATATTCTGTCTTAAAATAAATCTATCGGTAACAATCATTATTTAACATGTAATTATAAACAAATATTAATTTACTTAGATATCTGCTATTTGTATCAACATGAATGTATGAATATGCGCAGTTTTAATATATTCGGCAACTATAACTTAATAATTAAGTTTTACAAAACGCGCAAAATCCATTTCTGTTATCTTTTAAATTAAAAACGTAATCCAACTTATTTGGATCAATTTCCTGGTATTGTTACTCGGGTTTTTCGATTATGTTCCGAACAAAACCCAAGGCATTTGTTAACATTTTTGAAATATTAACTTTTCTACAATTTCCTATTTTTAATAGATATAATATGTTGTTCCTAAGGACTTAAAACCGATTTCACCAACCATCTATTAACTAAAAGTTACTTAGCACATAAACTAACCCCTTACTTGTACTGTTAGGTGTCACTTATAGATTGGTGAAAAGAAAAATGTAAGAGCTATCTTAGCTTAGGGGTTCCCTAAAATTTAGAAGAGGTCGGTGAAAAAGTAATCATATTTTTTTTGCTATAATGTTACCTAATTCCCAAAGAATGAATTTCTATGCTTTATAATAAAGAGATTTTTATAATTATTTATTGATTTTGCTAATAATGTAATTTTACATTTTGATATTTCAGTTTCGCACAATAATTATGTATGTTGGTTGTTGACTTATTTAGGTGCTTACCCTCCTAAACAAGGATTGTGAGCCAAAAGGATATAAGAATAATAAATGTTAAAGAAATTAGCATGTATAACTTGTTGTATTCATGTGTAGACATTTAATAAATTGTGATTATAGATTTATTGTCAATGTGAAATCAATTAGGTATAATGTCAATGTGAAATTAATGATTGCCTCGTTGGTCGAGTGGTTGCGATTGCGACTACCGGGCTAAGTATTACTGGGTTTTATAAAAATTCTCAGTAGTATTTGCGTGATGTTATGTTATGTTATGTATGTGAAATCAATTATTCAATGTTAAAGTACTTATATTCATGACAATTTTGTAATGATGTGCAGATTGTTCAGTCATGACATTCTTTTTCGATTTTTTTTTAATATTTTTGTTAAGATGGCCCATCTCGATGTATATTCATGTTTTATACACTATTCGCGTGCATGCATTTTATAAATATTTAAAGAGAAATGGCAATATTTTGCTTGTATTTTAATTTTATTTTTATTTTAATGAGAGTACGTATTTTTTTGTAGTTTTTGTATATGATTTTGAATAATGGTGCCAAATTAGTGAATTATAATATTGTTGCTACGTAAATGTATTAATTGTCGAATTATTTTTTATAATTTTCATAACGTATTGTTTTATATTTTCATTGTGATAGATAAACAAACCATTATAAATGTATTAGATTTAAAATACGAGTTTATTAAATCGACTGAATCATTAATAATTTTATTAGCAGTACAAAATATTTTTATATATAAAAAATAAATTAACCGCGCGTGTTCAAATTCTTTTGTTTTATTTATTTTCCATGTAAACGTTACACAGCATAACAAATAGGAACACGTAATTTAACCACTTATCTATACAGATAAATAGGTAAAATTGGTTTTTCCTACATCTATTCGTTTTCCCTATACTTACTATTATACTTTTTGTCCTACATGCATATGAATATATATGCCAAAATATCATATTTTACAATTTATGTTTGTCTGTTTGTACTGACTAATGTCTGTAATGGCTGGACCGATTTTGCAAGTTTTATTGGCAGGTATGGCAATAAAAGTCAATATTGGCAGGTAGCGTGTACTAAGGAGTAACATAAGCTACTTTTAGTTGGAAAAATTAAAACAATTTGTTGAATATTCTACGCGAACGGAGTCGCAGGCAACAGTTGTACAAAAAAATAATAAAACAGGAACACAGGAACTTGTCGTTTAGGGAATCTTAAAAACAAAACTGATACATTTTTTAAATAATCTTACTATTCGACCGAGTGTTTTGTTACTTAAACACGTCCAAACGGCTGAAGGGATAGAATTGAAATATGGAACAGGGATTGATTATGGTCGGGAATTACAAGTAGGCTACTTTATAACCTACGGAGGAGGGAGGATAACGGGCAAAAGCTAAGTACCTCATATAATTAAGTTTGTTTTTTCCATTCACGGGACCACAGGGTCTCGCTCATTTAGGAGGCGTATGAGAGGCCGAAGCCAACTGCGCAGAGGCCCTTTGGACAACTTTAGTGGTGTCTAAATAATCTTAGAAAGTACATATACTTAACTCGGAAAAAGTCGCATTGGTACTTGCCGTTGGTAGGTTTCTGACCAGCGCCCTCTAATATAAATATAATGGACACAAACCGGCGACTATCCCTGTATGCACTATGGAAATGCACCCAAGGACAGTCCCCAGTTTGTGTAGAACTATTGTAGATAATGGAAAACAATGGTAGGATGGATGGGTTGCTGTGGACTGGTAAATTGTAAAGTATGGATGACTATGGCACCTGCCGAAACAATGGAATTACTACACGTAAAAATGGCAGATGGACACTCGCCAACTCATCGACCGGGTCCCGGGAATGGTTGCTAGATATAGCAACACGAACAACGAAACGTGAATGGCTGAAGGGTTAAGAAACTACCACCGCTTTCTACTCAGATCATCTGCTTCAGCTGAAGCATCTCTGGCCCACTGCGACTTACGCATAGTTCTTACCCTCCGAGCAGGATCAGTGCTCTCGCGACTTTACTTCGGCGGCCAAGGCAAGCCAGAGGTGAGAAACCTGTTCCTCGTCACCATTCACCCAGCCAACCAAGGCAAGACGGAGAATAAGCAGCGGTGATTTCTCCCTGGAACACTCGGGATGATGTTAGCCCGCGAGGTCGCTAATGACCGTTACCTCGCCTCATTATTATTAATCATCTCCTTCCTGGGGGCGCCGCTCATGTTCAGGACAAACTTCTCTAAACGAAGTAGATAAATAATAAAAAAACATAAATAATGTTGAAGAATTATTTATTTTTCATCATTATACATAGTTGTCACTTATCTCGCGTACACAAGCGACAAAAGCCTTCCATAGCTCAATTGACTTTGGCATGAAGTTACATTGTATTTGTGCTGCCGCCGGCGCGGCGTGGGCCGTATGGTTTAATACTATAAGCACTAACGAGGAAGAATTTTCTTTCTAAAACAAGATTGAATAGAAAATTAAAACTAATTTCCAAAATATCTCACTAACAAGCGCGAATCACTGGATATAGCACTTTCAATTTTTAGTATTGATTTCCGGGAAATGTAAAATTAATACTAATAACGTGGGTATCACTGTAAGTAAGACATTACTTTTGTGACGCTCGTATTTGGTGAGGAAATGAAATTCCAAACATCTACATGCACTAAAGCTAATAGTGTAATGATGTATTATGTTGATACACTGGTAACATGAGAAAACAACAACAACATAGTGAACATCTAAAGAGACGCGTCGAGCTCGCTGCTACCGCCGACTATGCTAAGTATGTACTGTCTGCCGGGACTGCGCCGAAACACCACGACTACTCTACATCATTTTACCATACAAATCATATTTCCCGCAATATTAAACAAAAATAAAATAAAAACAAAACTATAATTACATAAAAATGAGTGAATGCATTTTTACATACAACATTACACATACATAAAATAGACATCGATGAGATACTCGTAATACTCGCACACCCTAGCCTGATACGTAGGAGCTCCGTAATATTAAACAATATTGGAATCAGGAACGAAACGTTCTAGACGGTACATCTAAGTTATCTGTCTTTATTGTAAAATATTATATTAATATTAGTGTAGCAAATATTCGAATGACAGCAATAAGCTTCGCTCGTAAAAAGTATGCAATTTCAATAAGTACTCATAATCTAAACATTATAACGTCGAATGTTGAATTAAAAGTAGACATTACTTTGTAACAAATAAATAATATTAATCTATGCATTAATAAATCTAAGAATCATACCATTCGCATAAGATCGAACATTTCATTTAGAATTTGATTATCATTAATTTTATAGGGACCGGTCGGATTCATATCATCAGGTAATATGAACAACTAGCCCGACTACCGCATGCATAGCGTGGCACTCGACTCCGGGCACTGGACACCCGGCGCCGGGCGCGGGCGGCCGCGAGGCTATAACGACGGCGGCGGCACGCTGATCTCGTGCCGTCGCAGCGCCACGCGGAAGCTCTCCAGCGACGAGCGCAGCGTCAGGCAGAACCCGCGCGACGCCGGCACCAGCGGGAACTCGGGCGCCGCCCCCGCCACTCCGCCTCGCTCGGCGCGCCGGCCGCCGCGCCCGCCGCGCCCCCGGCCGCGCCCTCGGCCGCGCCGTCCGCCGCGCCGCCCGACAGCCGCACCAGCCCCTCCAGCCGCGTGCACAGCGGCCGGCCGCGCTGCGCATGTGCGTCAAGATCTCGGCGCGGAATGGCTCGGGCGGGTTCATCAACATCTTCGTCATCGACTGCACCAGCTTCAGCAGCACCATCTCGTTGTACATGCGAGAATTCTCTTTGCCCTGCTGAGTACCTACAACCACGACAACAAAGATATTAACAAACCTTCAGTAAAGGACATCCTGTCACCAGTAACATCAAATAGAATC